ATAAATATTATAATACCGATGACCGCTTTGATGAAATTTTTATTTTATAACTTTTAAATTTTAATAATTTCTATTTATCTAAAAATAATATACCAAATTTGTAAACAAATAAGAAAATTCAACAATATATAATTTTTAGAGTAAATGTACGTGTAAAAACTCTGAAAGTTAAAAAGCAAAATAGATGGATTCTTGCCTAATTAGAGATAAAACACTTCAGTGTAATCTTCAATTGATTCCTATAAAAAATAACACAAAAATATAACAATAACATGCCTCTTGATAGATATTCAGAAAGGCGGTTTTTACATGTTTATTTCTAATCTCAAAAGTCGTTAAAGATTGATTTATTATATATACAATTATTAATTGATCTGTACTTATCATATCTAAACTAAACATATCCCAAGAACGGGCCATTGTACGCCTTTTATCGCATAAAACATAAACATTAACTTTGGCGAGCAGTGTTCGTGCGTGACCGTTAAGTGGCTAACTGTTTTTTCATTGAAGATCCAGAATTGAATGAAGTATTGCTTTTGGTAATTTTGTAAGTCGATTTTTTAGGTTTATGAAAGGTTGTCGGATTTAAAAATTCCGGTTGCTCCTCCTCCTCTAGATCAGAAAGGGCGTCGAACCTAGTTTTGGTTATCTTACTGTCTGTACTACAAAATTGGAAATTCTTTATCTTTGTCCGTGAAACTGAATCCGACTTTTGACTTGTTTGCATAACTGTCTTTATACAATATATTTCTGGCCTCATGGTATGCTAGATTCTTCCAAGCCATAATTTCTTTAATTTTTTTTATTTTTAATAAATACCGTGCACTCTTTATCATTTGCAGGGTGATCCTCATTGCACAAAGCACATACAAATTTGGAAGCTATACATATTTTTGCATTATGTTCTCCGGAACATTTCATACATCTCTCTTTTCCTCTACATTGGTCCTCAACGTGATTGAACCGACAGCATTTGTAGCAGTCGGCCTACAGTTCTGTCCTTGGATTCAACAAATATAGTGTAAGGGCCCATATCGCAACCTTCAAAATGTATCAAATTATTTAATGGATTAACTCTTTCATCTGATTTATTTTGATCGTTTATATTGTTGTCATCACTTATTAGATCTTTTTTATTTCCATTGTTGTATCAATATTATTAGATGCTAAATTACTGTTTTTCCCTTTGGTTTCCTTTTGTTCTAACGTTTCCATTTTATTACTATCTGCACTTACATCGTTGATATTATATTTATAATTAATGTTAACACTATTCTTGATATTCAAATCACAACTACTAACTGATTCATTTTCTACACTAATTACACTTTCATTATCACAAAAATCCATGTCACTCGATCTATTTAAACAAGTGTTCCTTGCATCTGCTGTTGATTCTCCAACCGCAGAGCGGCAGGTAACAAGGTTTGGGTAAGGTGGTCGGGCGCACTGACCATCCGACTCGGAAGACATAAATTATTTCCGGGTATCACATCTAATCGATCACTTCGATATCGCATTCAACTTTATCAGAATCGATATTTAGATTAATATTTCTGTTGGAAGTTTGACTTATCCGATTGAGATTTATATTAGCCTCTGATGCATTCTTAGTTGCTGCTTCAAGTTTATTGACCGCTTGACTAGTTTCAGTTTCAGGTACAATATTTGTTTCTTCAGTCGACATTACAGTTGGAGACTTATATTTAGTTAAATTATCATTATTAGATGCTTTTGAAATCTTCAAACTTTTACTAAAAACTTGTTTACTACATTCTACAATCCCAACATTAAAAGTTAGACTCTGTTCATTTTTATTTGTGGTTTTACTCAAATTGTTAAGTGCAGACAAAATCTCATTTTTATCAAGTTTGATAACACATATGGGGTTGGAATTCTTACTGGAAATTGCGTTTTGTTCAACCTTCAGTGATATATTTTTATTTTCAATTAAGCCAGGTTCAAATAAAGTTTCGGTTAATTTGGGTAATTCATTTCCATTAGAATCTACACACAATTTATCATTAGGTTTTTGTTTGATTCATTTTTAGTAGAACATTTTTTATTTCTTAGGATTTTTATTTCTTGCACTACATCTGCGAGTTATAATCTCAGCCGGACTTTTTTTTACTTTTAAGCCTCCAGAAAATGCGTCTATTATATTTGTATCTTTATGAGTTAAATTTCCTGTATATAGTATTGAAACCTTCATGTTTGGAAGATTCAGTTTTGGTAGGTGATTAATTTAATTCCAAAATGTTTACTGTAGATACCGATTGAACATTTGTTTCTTTTGTAATAATCTCATTTTCCTTCGAAATATCAGTATCCAATATATTTCTCCTATAGACTTTTCTACAAGTTCTAATTTTGGAGGACTTAAGTTTAAATTTCTATTTGAAAGTATATTGGAATATTTTTTAATTAATTTGTATTTTTCTCTTGGAATTGCTTAAATAAAGTAGATATTCGGTTAAATATTATTGTGCAAGAATTTACCTGCTTCCTTCGACTTGAGCGACATGTTTTTAGCAAATTATTAGTTATTACACTTCATTCAAAACGATTAAAACCATTAAAATTAACATATAAACATGTTATAAAATTAACGCCTTTTTGCGCTTTTTGTTGAGTTGACAGTCAAAACAAAATTCGTTTTAGGGGAAGAAAATATTTTTGAAGGGCGAAAAAGGGTTAAAGCGAATGTGGCGCCAGATTCAAATAGCATTTTTTCCAGTGAGCTTTATTTTTAACTTTCTAATTGCTTATTGCAAGTAAATATAAGTTGTTTTTACATGTATAGAAAGAAATTTCCAATAACAAAATAGAATTCGTATACCAATTTTAAGTTGCATTTGGCATTAAGGCAAGTTGCTTGAATTTTACGATTTTTAACTTCTCCTTGGGCAAGTTATATAGTAATGGGTCGAAAATCGAAAATGAAAATTTTTGTATATCTTCACGTTTCAGTGGTATCTGAACATTCTGAAAAAAGAAAAATGGTGGCGTGTGTGTTTTGTGTCTTCGCAATTTTTGTGTACGTTTTTGGCCGTGCGGATCAACCAATTTGAATGTTTCAAAAAACATTAGATTTCTATTGATAAGCACATGTGCTGATTAGTCTATGGCAAAGGCAGGTCCAGCTGTTACGGTATGAAGCAATGAGTACAGAAAATAGAAATCGAGATTATGAGAGAACGGAGTATATATGATTTGAATGATCCAAAAAAACATTCAATTTGTAATTATTAAAAAAATGGTGATTAGTTTTTTGGAAGATGCAGGTCCAGGAATTCGAAGATACAGAGATAAATGTTGCAGTTTTTGAGAGAACTAAGCATCCGATTTGAATGATTCAAAAAACTTTTTGCTAGTGCTAACAAAACAATTGCTTTTGGAAAAAAAATCTCAAAATATATCAGAAAATAATTTAGATTTTGATTTTAATTCTGGCTGAAGTCTAAAGCTCACTTATATACTTTAAATAAATAATTTTAACTTTGTAATTCAGTTTATATAATTCTTATAAATATTCGACAATGTTACAGTGCATTTATACAATCTATTTGAAAGCATTTAATATTCCTCGAACATTTCGTTACGGTACGGAAAGTTCCAGCAATTTGCCTTAAAGCCACGATGCCATACACTACAGTTAGTTTAGTTTTCGTTTATCTTTATATCATTTCCTAATAAACCCTTAAATTCGATGAAAACAATTATTTTTTTAACTTCCCGTAGGATAAGTTATAGAGTAATCGCAAAAAATCGAAAATGAAAATTTGTATATACCTTTACGTTTCAAAAGTTTTTGAACATTTTGGCATACCTTAGAAAAAATGGATGTATGTGTGTGTGTGTGTCGAAAAACAAATTTTCGTCGACGATTTCGGGTACACCGATCAACCGATTTCAATAATTCAAAAAAAAATCCATTCGTATTGATAAGGAGACGTGCATGTTTTCTATATTTATATCTTCTTTGACTTAAGAACTCTTAAAAGCTCGTCCTAGGACTAGAAGTAATTGTGTTATCGAAATCGTCGTCGAAAATTTGTATCCACACACACACACACACACGCATACATCAATTTTTTCTAAGGTTTGCCAAAATGTTCAAAACCTTTTGAAACGCAAAGGTATAAACATTTCATTTTCGATTTTTTGCGATTACTATAACTGCGCGCACACATACACACAAGCACACGCACATACACATACTCAAAAAAAAACAAACAAAAACGTACACATACTGATAGATAAAAGAAGAATATACTCATATACACCCTAAAGTATGTAAGAAGCTTTGAAACGTAAAAATTTATGCAAGTTTTCATTTTCAGTTTAACTTAATAAAGTTAAACTTTTATAAAGTTATAGTAAAGTTGAATAACTCCTACGGGAAGTTAAAAATATAAAAAATATTTTTAATCAAAAACGCCTGAAACACCCAAAATTAAAACTATATTGCATTCAGTACTTAAAGTGTTTGATTGCCTCCTTATGAAGGACTAAAAATTCTTGAGGGATGTTTTCTATTAGTATTCTTTTTTATAATTTTTAAAATGTTTTCAATAAATTTATTATAACATTATTTCAAAACAATTTTAATTTCAACTCTAAAAGTGATTTTCTTCAAATAATAATTAATTACGAAGCATACATATAATAAGTATAAATGAAATATTAAATACAACAGCTAATATATATTTAGCGATTATACAATTAATAACTATAATAATATATTTTCAAGACTTTTACGATTTTTATCAGCACTATCACTACTGACTTTCTTTTGTAAATGTATCACACTTTTATCACATAAATATTTCCCATATTTTCCCTAACATGTTTTCTATATTTATATCATTTTTGACTTAAGATGACTAGAAGTATTTCTTAATTTACATTAAAAAAAAAAAAAAAATAGGTGAAAATTAAAAGGATGCATAGTGTTCCAGAAAAAAATATATGTTAAAATCGAAGATTGGGTTCCAGGGATGCAAAAAGACCATGTAAAATTTTTAAAATCTAAAAATTGAACAAAGTAAACATTTAAAATTTTATTATGTACACAGAAAACCCGTATTCAACTTGAGCAAATTAAATTAATATTATATATAGACTATAATTAATTTATGAAAAACAAAATTAAAATTAATGACTGTATGAATTCAAGGTGAATGTTGTCGCATGTCAGCTCTTCTTACAACAATTCGATCTAATGTTTGCTGAATAGTTTTCTCTTGATATAGCATAAATTTTCTTGTAAACACCCCCCTGGTACATTTTAATATCTTTCTTGATACTAGAATATTTAAATATTTATTTGCCAGTTAACTTCTGTCCATCATTAGCAAATAGCAATCGTGATTGTTCAATAGAAAATTCTTAATTGCATAAGGTTAACAATTTAAAAAAAGAAAAATATATGAAAGACGTGAGCCCAAAACTAACGACTCACAGTAAAAATTATTTTTAGCAATTCTCTTATAATAATGAATAAAACCAAATGTATCTTAATATCAATCTTAAATCAACCAGTGACTTCCCACTTCCCCGCTAGAATAATTTTTATCCCTGCAACCTTCTCTATGATGACTTAATTTCACCTTCGATATAAAAACTTCTCCACATATTCGACACTGGAATGTATCCAAATCTCCATTGTGCTTCTGCTCGTGAGCTTTCATTTCACTTAAAGTTTCATAAACATTCTTACACACATTACATTGATGAAGTTGGACATTTTCATGCTTGTACAAATGCCTTAAGAGAGCTTGTCTTGTAGTGAATGTTTTCGAACAGTATTCACACTTCTTTTGTTTTGTTTCATCATGGATTCTTATATGTGCATACTGAGTACTTTTTGTGGTAAAAGTCTTAGAACAAAAGTCACATTTGTAGGCACGTTCTGTGCTGTGCATCTTCACGTGATCATTTAAAACTTCTCTTCTACAAAATGTAGCGTCACAAATTTCACAGAAAAATTTCTTTTCCCCATGAATCAGCATGTGTCGCCAGAGTTTACGGGCGTTACCAAATATTTTGCTGCATACCTTGCATTTGTATCTATCTGGCTGATGTACTATTTTGTGTTTGGTCAAAGTATTTTTGGATGAACAAGGTTTACCACATACATCACACACAAAGCTGTTGTGTTGGGTAAGCATGTGTTCATCGTAACTTTCCTGAGTTTCTGTCACTGCGTTACAAGTTTCACAAATATAAATAACCGTAAGCATGTGAGTCAATATGTGAGTGGTCATTTTGTTCTTGTTGGTAATTTCGACGTCACAAATGAAACATTTATTGGTTGTGTCACTTACGTGCGTTGTATATACATGTTTTCTTAAATCTTTTAAGGTCGTATAAGTTTCATTACAGGGAATACATGCATGTACTGTGGTTTCTATATTTATATCAATCTCAGGCTCGATGTGCACAGGTTCCACACAATCTTCCAATACAACCGAACATGGTTTGATCATCGTTGCATATTTGGGATCGATATTAAATATTTTATTACTAACCAAATTTATTTGTTCCTCCATTTGAATTTGATCATTGTGATTAGGACTCACATTTTTCATTGAATTTTGAGCATTTGGTTTTTTTGTTGGACTCACAGATCCACCTACAAAAACAGAATATTTGTGTAAATCTTCATATTTTACTTTCTTAAGAAGTTTGTTTTGGCTAGAAAATTTGATTTGTTTTTTATGTTTTTATGATGTCATTATAAATCTATTTTTTTCTCAAAATCCGGCTGAACCGTTTACAAAAATTTGTGTATGGCATAATGCATTAAGTCAAATTGCTGGAACTTTCCGTACCAAAAATTATTTTTTTTAAAAAAGATTAAATTTTTTTTTTAAACTTTGAAAAAATTAGATTTTTGAGAAATTTTAAATTTATGAAAAAAAGTTTTTGTGAAAAAAACTTCTGGATTATTTTTTTCTTTTTAATTTTAAATATTTTGGAAATTTTGAACTTTTGTTCAAAGCAATCGCACTGCTTTAAATGCATAGATACAAAATATCGAAACGCGTAAGCGCCGCGTCGCTGTCTAGCGGACAAGCAATGTTACGAAACTCATAGAAATGCAAACAAATTTGATAAACATTGAGAAAGTCTCCATAAAATATCTGACACTTTGATGTGCATATGAATAGTGATCATTTTTGACCGCCAAATGGCATTTATTTTACTTTTTTTTACTAGATCTACAAAACCGCATAACCTGCCTTCCCAAAAATTTAATCAGTTCTTCATATTGTCAATACAAGTAAAATGTTTATTGAATTATTTAAATCGGTTGATCGCTGTACCCGAAATCGTCGACGAAAATTTGTATCCGCACGCACACACACACACACACAAACATCCATTTTTTCTAGGGTATGCCAAAATGTTCAGAAACCTTTGAAACGTAAAAATATATAAATATTTGCATTTTCGATTTTTTTCCGGTTACTATAACTTACCCTATGGAAAGTTAATAAAAAAAGAACATTTTACCTAAGTAGTGGAATCTCAATTCTTATTGTTTATGTTGTTTACGTAAACGTATTTGTGAAGTGCATACAACTTGCCTTAGGTCAAAATGCCACTTAAAGCTAGTTAAGAGTTGACTTATTACTATCAAATATTCGATTAATGATTACTGTATTTACCTTTAGTTGATGTTTTGTTCCACTTCAATCGTGTCATGTTCACTTCGACCAGACTGTTTATATTTACTTCATCGACTATTGCAGGTCCTGAGTCTGCAGAATCAACATTTTTTTCAAGATTTGCTTGCAGATTATCGGTATTACTGATTGTTGTTAGTTTTATGCTCGAGTTATTTTTGCTTTTGATGATTTTATGTTGTTTATTCATCACAGTATCTACAATATTTCTGTCTAATGCCACGGATAGCTTCTTAAGTTTATATCGTTTGGTAATAGATGTGTTTGATTTAGTGCTTGATAAAAAACTCTTCCGTTCAGGCTTTATGGAGTTTGGCTTGGACTTTACAGGTTGTCTGTTTTTCGCAGTTATCTCAGGATTGTGTACATCTACTATTTTATTATTTATATTCAAAGCATCTTTTCTAATCCCTTTGATATCACATTCCACTTTATCAGAATCGATATTTAGATGAATGTTTCTGTTGCATGTTTGACTTATCCGATTGAAATTTATATTACCCTCTGATGCATTCTTAGTTGCTGCTTCAAGTTTATTGACCGCTTGACTAGTTTCAGTTTCAGGTACAATATTTGTTTCTTCAGTCGACATTACATTTGGAGTCTTATATTTAGTTAAATTATCATTATTAGATGCTTTTGAATTCTTTGAACTTTTACTAGTAACTTGTTTACTACATTCTACAATCCCAACATTGAAAGTTGGACTATGTTCATTTTTATTTGTGGTTTTACTCAAATTGTTAAGTGCAGACAAAATCTCATTTTTATCAAGTTTGATAACACATATGGGGTTGGAAGTCTTACTGGAAATTGCGTTTTGTTTAACCTTCAGTGATATATTTTTATTTTCAATTAAGTCAGGTTCAAATAAAGCTTCGGTAAGTTTAGGTAATTCATTTCCATTAGAATCTACACACAATTTATCATTAGATTTTCCTACCTTTTTGGCACTCTGGCTGGTAACTTTGTTAGATTCATTTTTAGTAGAAGCATTTTTATTTCTTGCACTACATCTGCGTGTTATAATCTTAGCCGCACTTTCTTTAACTTTTAAGTCCACAGAAAATGTTTCTATTATATTTGTATCTCTATGAGTTAAAATTCCAGTATTAGAATTGATACCTTCAGGTTTGGATGAAGATTGAGTTTTGGTAGGTGATAAATTCAATTCCAAAATGTTAACTGTAGGTACCGATTGCACATTTGTTTCTGTGGTATTGATCTCATTTTCTTTCGAAATATCAGGATCCAATATATTTCTCCTATAGACTTTTCTGCGAGTTCTAATCTTTGGAGGACTCAAGTTTAAATTTCTATTTGAAAGTATATTGGAATATTTTTCAATTAATTTGTATTTTTCAGTTGGAATTCCTAAAATCAAGTAGATTCGGATTATACATAACATAGATTAATAATATTATTGTGCAAGAATTTACCTGCTTCCTTCGACTTGAGCGACATGTTTTTAGCAAATTATTAGTTATTACACTTCATTCAAAACGATTAAAACCATTAAAACTAACATATAAACAAGTTTATAAAATTAGCGCATTTGGCGCATCTTGTTCAGTTGACAGTCAAAACAAAATTCGTTTCAGGGGAGGAAAATATTTTTGAAAGGCGAAAAAGTGTTACCAGTGTGGCGAATGTGGCGCCAGATTCAAATAGCAACATTTCAGTGAGCATTATTTTTAAATTTCTAATTGTTTATCCCAAATCGCAAGTATGTGAAGGTTGTTTTTACATATATAGAAAGAAACTTTTCAATAACAAAATAGAACTAGTGGCATGGCATCGTGCCTTAAGGCAAATTGCTGGACTTCCCATACCAAAAATTATTTTTTTTAAAAAAATTAACATTTTTGAAAAAAAATTACTCTGAAAAAATAGATTTTTGACAAACTATAAATTTTGACAGAAATTCACTTTTTAAAAAAAAAACTTTTTGAAGAAAAATTTTTTTGAAATATTTTGGAAATTCTGAACTTCTCTTCAAAGCAATCGTACTGCTTTAACTGCATAGAGACAAAATATCGAAGCGCCGCCGTCTAACGGTTAAACATTGGTACGGAACTCATAGAAATATAAACAAAATTTATACTTATTGTTAAAATCTGTATAAAATATCTGATAATTTGATGTGCATATGTCTAATGATCATTTTTGACCGCAAGATGTCATTTTTTTTTACTTTTTTACTAGATCTCCGAAACCGTTAGACTTGTTAATACAAGTAAAAGCCAAAAAATTAAAACGCCTGAAAAGAAATGGCCCAGTAATCTACCGTCCACAAGATAATTTTTCTGTTTTGCACAGGAAAATTTTCAAACAAGTTACTTTTAATTATTATTTGTTATTGATTATATTGTTTTCATTATTAATACTATTATTTTAATTATTATTTATTCTATTTCTTTTCTTTAATTTTTCTTTTGTTCTATTTTTCTTTCTTCTTGATTTTGATTTTCAATACCATAACTTTCAACTTATAAATTGTATTGTAATCAGATTGTTAAAATTGGCAAAAAAATACAAACATCTGACCCCTCTGACCATTGCCAGTGATTGCCGAAAACCTTTTTTCGAAAATTGTCTTTTCAGCCTGGCCCTAGAAGTGAAGTTTGGGTGATATGCTTTACGGTTTTTATATTTATGTGAGAAAGCAATGATACATATACATGATCGATTTATTTCATTTATTTCGTGTTCTAAAAATGTAGGTATTTTATTGGGGCATCAAAAGTAATCAGTTACCTACAAAAGACAGAACGCATGAACGCATTAAGATGCGTCCACACCTAACGAACGAACACGAACGAACATGATGAACAAGAATATACAAAGAAGAACGAACACGAACACAAACGAAGGCGAATATGTGTGAATGCACCTTTTTGCATATGCTCACATAGATTCTGATTAGATCCGCTGAAGCGCGCAACGCAATTACAAACCTTGATCAATTTTTATAATTCAACCACCTATCGTAAGCCTATAATATTTTAGTGTTATTTTAGACTACGAAAATTATTTTCATACAAAGTTTAATTAAAATCGTCAGTAAAATATTTTTTTACTATAATTACGAAAAAACGGCTAAAACATGGAGAATTTTTTTAATACTTTTCCGCTAATTATAAAAAAAAAAACAATTCGGCTGGTCATCGCGCAAATCTGATAAACGCTTATTAACTCCGTGGGAAAACTTGGATTAAATTATTAATACTCCAAAGCGCTAAAATTTAATCTTTTATTTATATCAAGTGAGCTTCAGAATTTTAGCTAGAGTTAAAATTAAAATCCAAATTATTTTTGCATGTTTCGTTCTCTTAAAATCTACTATTGTCTTCACATTAAGCTCCTTATCTCCAAAACGGCTGAACCTGCCTTTGCTAAAACCTAATCAACACTATTCTCCCCGTCATTACGAATTGAATGTTTTTTAATAATTCAAATCCGATGGTCTGTTATCTCAAAAACTTAACGGCTAGACCTGCCTAATATTAATCAGCACGTCGCCTTATCAATAGGAATCGAATGTGTTTTGAATTAATGAAATCGGTTGATTCGTATTTGCACATACATACACACAAACATACATACATCCAAGGAATGCCAAAATGTGCAGAAGGCTTTGAAACATATAAATAATCATTTTAAATTGTTTACAATTTTTATAACTTACCCAACCCGAAGTTAATAAATTTTATTAAAAGCACTTAAAACACCAAATTTAAAGCTTAATTGCATTTAGTACTTAAAGGCATTATAACCTGCAGATATTAAATTTATTGAAAACATTTTGAAAATTATAAAAAGTGATACTGAAAGAAAACAATTACCTTTAAGATTTTTTAATCTTTCAAAAAAGGGGCAATCAAACACATTTATGAACTATAAGTATTAACACATATATACCCAGTAAACCACAAAACGTAATAAACCCATGAATATTATGTGGCGCCCCCACGTCCGCACGTAGCAGGTACGTAACCTGGGAGACACAGAAGTATCTATTTCGCGGGCAGGAACGTAACGGCTGTTACGTTGCACACTAATACGGCACGGCTATTTTAGCTACGTAACTAGGTTGAATAAAAAAGCGTGTAGGTGTTTTTTATGTTACATAATAATTGAATTAAAATTTCCTGCAAATATAGAATCTATTTTGGATATTTAGTAATTTTATTAAATAATTTCATTTACAATGTACAGAATTTACATATTATATAGTTAATGTATATTTTATTTTGAGTGATTATTTTAAAACAATTCTATTATCAACACTAAAATTGATCTACTTCAAATATTAACTGATTATAAAGCATATAAGTGTAAAAATTTGTTATGTAAATATCCCTGAAATGTAAATGAAATACTAAATACATGTCTTTTGATAAAAAAAAAGATTTTTTTTAAAAAAATACCATAATAACAAATATATATATACTTTAGCGATTATACTAACTATAATGTAATATTTTCATGACTGTTCCGATTTTTTATCACTACTACCGCCGCTAATTTAATTTTGCAAATGTATCACACTTTTGTCACATAAATATTTCCCACACTTGGTTGTCAAAATTGTATAATCCTGTAACACCTTCCAATATGTTTTCTATATTTATATCATTTTTGACTTAAGAGGACTAGAAGTAATTCTTTATTTACTTTAAAAGAAAGTAATACGTGCAAATTAAAACGAGGCATATGCATAGGCAACGAGTGTTTCAGAAAAAAATATGTGAAAATCGAAGACTGGGTTCCAGGGTTACTAATGTTTTGCAAAGTAAACATTTAAAATTTTATTATTTTTATAGAAACCCCGTATTAAGGGGGTTGTTCGGTTTTTACTTGTTTTTTTTCGTTTTTGAGATTTTTTGATATTATGAAAGCTAAAAACATTGGAATTATTTAAAAAAAAAATCATCTCAATATCTATTTTTTTGACGAAGTTATAGATATATATATATATATCTCTATATGTATGATCCTCTGAAACCGTTTTTTTCATCGCTCCGGAGCTATTGTATGCCAGCTGCTCTCTTTTTCATTATAATACCTCGTGCACATGACCTTTTTAATGTGTCAGCATCTTTGAACACCATAGTGTATTTAGTACATTATATTAGAAACTTTAAATACGTTTTCTCAAATTGACTTTTATCAATGCGGTGCCACAAATTAAAAAAAAAAACTACAAATCGGATCGACTTGCATTTTTTTTAATTTGTTCACCACTGCAATACCTAGTCCCCCTACCTCAAACAACTTGATAACATTACGCAAAAAAAATTTGTGAAGCTTCTCGCTCCCCAAAAAAGGCCTTTTTCAACACTTTTTGCCATTTTTTCCTTTCTGCTTTTTTTCTTTCATTTTGGTAGGGGGACTGGATTCAAACTTCTTCTTCAACGTAGTTTCTTTTTTTTTGTTCCAGGCGATGCGCAACGGATTTATCTGTGGCACCGCAAAAGAGATCGATTTTGCAAGACCGACTTTGTCGCCCCCTGGTTAAAAAATGACAGCGAAAAAAAAGAAAAAGAAAATTTCGTAATATTCTATGATTTTGTAATTTTTGTTTAAGAAAAACCGCATGTCTATGATAAATACATTTCGAGGAAAACAAAAACAAATACCTTGCATTTTTTTAAAGAAAAAAAAAGAACAACCCCCTTAAAGTTAAGCAAAACAAATTATTGCTATATATAAACTATAAGTAATAAATTAAACAAATTCATGGTAAATGTTGTCGCATGTCAGCTCTTCCTGCAACAATTTGGTCTAACATTTGCTGCATAACTTTTTTTTATTTAGTATTTAGTATTTTCTCGTAAACACTACCTGATATATTTTAATACTCATTTTGATATTAGAATGTTTAGATATTTATTTTCCAGCTAATTTCTGTCCCTCATTAGCAAATAGCAATTGTAGTTGTTTAAAAGAAAATTCTTAGTTGCGTAAGTTTAGCAATTTCTTTAAAAAAAAATAGGAAAGATACGTGAGCCCAAAATTAACGACGCACAGTAAAAATTATCATTAACAATTCGTTATAACAATGAATGGAACCAAATGTGTCTAAAAATCAATGTTACATCAACCAGTGACTTCCCACTTCCTCGTTAGAATCATTTTTATCCCTGCAACCTTCCCTATGATGACTCAATTTCACCTTCGATGTAAAAACTTCTCCACATATTCGACACTGGAATGTTTCCAAATCTCCGTTGTGCTTCTGCTCGTGAGCTTTCAATTCACTTAAAGTTTCATAAACATTCTTACACACATTACATTGATGAAGTTGGACATTTTCATGCTTGTACAAATGCCTTAGGAGAGCTTGTCTTGTAGTGAATGTTTTCGAACAGTATTCACACTTCTTTTGTTTTGTTTTATCATGGATTCTTATGTGTGCATACAGGCTACTTTTTGTGGTAAAAGTCTTAGAACAAAAGTCACATTTGTAGGCACGTTCTGTGCTGTGCATCTTCACGTGATCATTTAAAACTTCTCTTCTACAAAATGTAGCGTCACAAATTTCACAGAAAAATTTCCTTTCCCCATGAATCAGCATGTGTCGCCTGAGTTTACGGGCGCTACCAAATATTTTGCTGCATACCTTGCATTTGTATCTATCTGGCTGATGTACTATTTTGTGTTTGGTCAAAGTATTTTTGGATGAACAAGGTTTACCACATACATCACACACAAAGCTGTTGTGTTGGGTAAGCATGTGTTTATCGTAACTTTCCTGAGTTTCTGTCACTGCGTTACAAATTTCACAAATATAAATAACCGTAAGCATGTGAGTCAATATGTGAGTGGTCATTTTGTTCTTGTTGGTAATTTCGACGTCACAAATGAAACATTTATTGGTTGTGTCACTTACGTGCGTTGTATATACATGTTTTCTTAAATCTTTTAAGGTCGTATAAGTTTCATTACAGGGAATACATGCATGTACTGTGGTTTCTATATTTATATCAATCTCAGGTTCGATGTGTACAGGTTCCAAACAATCTTCCAATACAACCGAACAAGGTTTGATCATCGATGCATATTTGGGATCAATATTAAACATTTCATTATTGACCAAATTTATTTGCGCCTCCTCAATTAATGAATCGTTGGCACAAAAATCAATTTGAACATTGTCATTTAGATTTATAGTTTCCAGATGATTGTGAGAATCCGATTCTTTTGCTGGTCTCATATCCAAAGGGCAGCTATTTAAATTCATCGAACAACTTCCTGAAACAGAAAATTACTGTGAATTTTTATTTTTAACTTCACAAAAGGGAAGTTCTAGTTTGCATCAGAAAATCCGACTTTATAATTTTATATCTTTTAATTCTAATCTTAAAATTTTAAGTCATTCTAAATCGTTTGACTCCGAAATTAGAAAAAATGAGAGTGTTTATTTTCGTGGAAGTTTTCCCAAAATGGTTTGAGTCATTCAATAAGTATTCACTTTGATTAGTTTTGCGAGAGTATCGCAAATAAGTGGGCGTCCATTAATCACGTGAGGCTTTTTAACAAAAAATCACGTGGGGGGAGGGAGGGGTCTAGTAAGATAACATGTGTATTTATTTTTCACCTGAATTTTCAAAAAAAAAAAAAAAATTTACGATTTTTTCGTAAATTCGAAAAATTTTACGTAGCTAAAAATACATGTGATGCATACGTGATATTTGGTGAGGGCAGGAAAGTAATTTTAAATATCACGATGTATCACCAAGGGAGAGTGAGGGTCCAAGAATCTCTAAAAAAATGGATCACGTGATTAATGAACGCCCCATAAATTCAAAAGTTTTCCTCCACGGTTTCGCCAAACATCCTTGACCGATTTTGAAAATTTTAAAGCCGTTTGAAAGATATCAGATGGGGATCGGCATCAAAATCTAAACATCAATCAGGTCATTTCTTCGTAACTATTAAACTTTCGTATTATGATGAAGTTTATGGCCTTAACAAACATTTCCAATTATTATGGCCTACGAAGCGTGGTTTAATTATTTCATTAAAGTATGAAATAACGGGTCACATTGAAACGGGTCATACTGAAACGGGTCAATCGGGGAAGTCCTCGATTGTCGGCAACGTTCGCTCAGCAAGTGACGTCATAGTCCCTTCTATGTTTGTGCACTTATTTTGCGCTCGAGTAGCAGTTCATGTAGTACAAGGTCTATGGGTGCATGGCAAAAGTGCCTTAAGGCAAATTGCTGTAACCTCCTTTACCAAAAATTACAATTTTTAAAAAATATTCAATTTTTTGGAACTCTGAAAAAATAGATTCTTGAGATTTTTGAAATTTTAGAAAAAAATAGACCTTTTTAAAATTTTAGTTTTTTTTAATACTTTGAAATATTTTGAAATCTTTGAACTTTTTTTCAGAGCAATCGCGATACGTTAGCTACAAAGAAACGAAATATAGAAGCGCGCGGAATTTGGTACGGAACCCATATAAATGTACACAAAATTTGTTTTTATTATCAATATCTATAAAATATATAATCTATAATATCTATAAAATCTATCTAATCTATCTAATCTATATCTATAATATCTATAAAAAATGTGAATTTGAAGTGCATATGTCTGATGATCATTTTTGGCCACCAAATAGCATATTTTTCACTTTTTTGTTGGATCTCCGAAACCGTTAGACCAGCCTTTCCAAAATTCTTCAGTTGTTCATTTTCTCAATACAAATAGAATGTTTCTTGAATCATACAAATCAGACCCTCCGTTCTCTCATAAAATTGCGGCGACACAAAATCAAAAGACAAAATCAATTACCATTTTTGTTACTTTTTGACCCATATCTTCGAATCGGCATGACCTGCTTTTGTCAAAAACTAATCTGCACACATCCTTATCGATACGAATCGCATGTTTTTTGAATTATTCAAATTGATTAACCCGTGTATCTGATATTCGCCGGCAAAAATTTGTACCACACACACACATACATCCATTTTTTCTAAGGTATGCCAAAATGTTCAGAAGACCTTAAAACGTTGAGATATGGAAAAAAATTATTTTCGATTTTTTTGCTATGATAGTATAACTTACCCTACGGGAAGTTATTGATTCGATTCCTAAAATGGCTGTTACAAAATAGAGGCTTCTTCTGGTATAAAATATATTAATAATTTTGTATAATACTATTTTAAATCAATATTTTTTGGTACATTTTTTACCTTTTAGTAAACATTATGAATTAATCGAATTAATCATATTTGTGTACATTTTTGAGGTATCCATAAAAATCAATAAAACATTTCAAAAGTTTCAAAATATATTTAAAAATCATTATTTTCAAAAATTGGTTTAATTTTAAAATTAATCTAATCATAAAAAACCTAGCAAAAATCTTTGAAAATGATAAAAAGGGTATGGGCGTGTTTCCATACAGAATCGGCCCAATATACTTTTAATGTATGGAAAATATTATTATCTTAAGTTTTTCATACATTGAAATATATTAGTCATAAGCTTATACGGCGAATGAAAATAATCAATAATAATAATTATTGTTTTTATTCGGAGCGTTGGATTTTTTATTATGACTAAATGAGTATACTTATATACAAGATATAAATAAATTTTGGTTTTTAATAAATATTTCTATATATACAGAATTTGTCGAGACGCTCGATAACGACGAGCCTTATGCTTGCGAATTTTTTAAAAAATACCTATAAAATGGCATTCAAAATCATTTAAATGCCCACACCCATCATTTACACGCCCATATCCTTTAAATATTTATCAAAAAAAATTTTTTTAGATATCCAGTTTTGGAAAATTTTGATATGTAATATATATGAAATAGAATTCGCAATTTTTTACGTAATATTGTTCGGATTTTTTGGCAAAAATATTAACTTCGCCTTCGAGATATTAATAATCGATCTAGAATAAACTAGTGGTGTATGGCATCGTGCCTTAAGGCAAATTGCTGGAACTTCCCGTACGGTAATTTGAGGAAAGAAAATAGCCAACAATTGTTTTGAATAATTTCAAATAGAATATTTATTATAAATACTTATTCAATTGAGCGTCGCTTACAAGAAATTTGTTCATATTCTTTTATTTGACTTTTTTGATAATTTTGAAAATTTTTCAAGAGTTCGATTTTTTTTAGGAATTTTTGGAAGAAAACAATTATTTTTTTAAACTTATTTTCTAATTTGGAAATTTTTGAAAATATTCGATTTTCCTTTAAATCTCAAAATATTCTCAAATTTTTTAAAATTTCGTTATTTTTTAAATTTTTCAAAATTTCGTTATTTTTTTAAATTTTTTCAAAATTTAGAATCTTTTTGAAAATGATGAAAAAATTTCGAAAATTTGAATTTTTGATACTTCAAATTTTTTTGAAAATTCTAATTTTATTTTGAAAATTTTCAAAGTTACATTTTTTTGTAAAAACATTTTTTGCACACAGTGTACACAAGCAAATGGATTTTTAAATTAATCTAATCGGATAATCCGTTCTCTCAAAAACTGCATGACCATTTTTACACCCTTTGCGCTCCATTCCTCCGAAATGGCTCTATACCTTTGAAACGTGCCCTTGGCAAAAACGCCTTGCGATCGAGTACGAACCGAATGTTTTTTTAATCATACAAATCAGCTATTCCATACTGACAAAAATGTCGAAGACATTTGTGTGAACCATATAAATGAACTTCAAAATTAAAAATCTTGGTATGGGTACACATTATTAAAATCTCTATAAAATATATGATAATTTAAAGTGCATATGTCTATTGAACATTTTTGACCGCCAGATGGCATTTTTTTCACTGTTTTTTATTGAATGCAAAAGTGCATAAAGTTCTTCTTTTAGTGGATACAAATAAAATGCTTTTTGAATTATTAAACTCGGACGCTTCGTTCTCTCAAAAACTGAATTACCATTTTTGGTCCTTTTTGCTCCATATCTTTGAAACGGCTAGACCTGCCTATGCCAAAAACTAATCAGCACGCCTCCTTATCAATACAAATCGAATGTTTTTTAAATTATTCAAATCGGTTCATCCGTGTTTCAGGAATTGTCGACGAAAATTTGTATTCGCACAAACACACACATACATCAATTGTTTTCTAAAGTATACCAAAATATTCAGAAACCTTTGAAACATAAAGATATATGAACATTTTCATTTTCGATTTTTTTGCGATAACTATAACTTGCCATAGGAAAAGTTAATAATAAACACATTTGTTTTTAAATTTACACAAAGACGTTTCGTGTTGACAGTTGGCTACATAGAGATTTGTTTTGAATTTCAATAGATGATAAGCGTCTGGTCTAGTCTCTTCGAAAAACATACTCTATGCTTTAGCTTCAACTGTCAACTCAAATGTCAAAAAGATAAAGAAAAATAACATTTCCAAGAATCAATGTAAAATAGTTAAATCATTATCATCCTAGACAATATAATAATATTTTTATCATATTTAAGATTATTCGTTACAATAGATTAGAGATTATAAATATTTTGTGATTAAAAGCACTAAAAATGTCTGGTGTAGTGAGTGTTTCTATCAATGATCCTAATATTGAAAATGAACCACTAGATTTTTCTATAGAAGACCTTAAACGAGAAAATGAGGATGAATTTGATGGTATTGTTAAGTCTGAATCTAGTTCTGAAGACGACGAAACGTGTTTAGAAAGATTCATGAATTCTGAAGTAACGATTGATGAAGAAATCAAACAGGAATTGGATGATGAGGACGAAACACCTTTCGAATGCTCAATATGCAGTAAAGCATTTAATACAAAGTATTTATTAGATCTGCACTTGTGTGATTCTTTAGAAAAACCCTCAAGCTTCAATGAATCCGATAAAACGCATGCTCATACTGGAAAACGGCTTCACAGATGTGGTTTATGCGATAAGGTATATGTATCATCGAGTAATATGGAACAGCATACGCGTACTCATACAGGAGAACGTCCATACAAATGTAAAATATGTGATAAGGTATTCATATCATCAAGTAATCTCAGAATGCATTCACGCATTCATACAGGAGAATGCCCATTTAAATGTGAAATATGTAATAAAGCATTCAGTACATCAAGTCCTATGAATGCACACATGCGAACACATACTGGGGAACGCCCTTATGAATGTCAAATATGCAATAAAAAATTCACACAATTAAGCAGTTTGAAAACACATATGCTTATTCATTCCGGAGATGGTCCATATAAATGCGAAAAATGTAATAAAGCATTTCTTTCATCATCTGGTTTAAAACGTCATTCGCAAACTCACACTGGAGAACGCCCTTTTGAGTGCTCGATATGCAATAAATCATTTGCAGAATTAGGTACTTTAAAAACGCACATGCTCGTTCATTCTGGAGAGCGCCCATTTAATTGTGGAATATGTAATAAAGCATTCCAAACATCGAGTAATTTAAAGCAACATATGCAGTCACATACAGGAGAATCACTCTATAAATGTGAAGCATGTAATAAGACTTTTATAAAAAGAAGTAGTCTCTACACACACAAGCAGCGCAAGCATAAGACGTGAAATATGCAATTGATTAGTCATCATGCGGGATGAAAAGTAATTCAATTTCTAAATTGGCTGTTACAAAATTGAGACTGCTTCTGGTAGGAGAGTGAAAATTAAGGCTCCAAGATAATGAATCATATAGTTGTACCGAAGATTCAGTTACTATTTGGTATTCGGCATATTCGGCACCTTTTTTGATATTCGGCCGAATACCGAATAGTTAAAATCAAAGGAGCTGCCGCCGCTTAGCAAAAATATTGTGTTTTATCTGTTATGCGATAATGAGCTTGCGATGGATCTGTATTTGCAAGTCTATAGTTTACATAATATGATATAAAGAAATTCGTTATTATATTTTGTATATATAAAATTTTATCTTTTTTGACTTCTGAGATTATAAACAAACACGTGAAGGAGTCTTTTCTCAATATTCAAAGGACACGTTATTGTTATATGTTTATGTTAAGAATGATTCAACCATTACACGCACGTTTTGTATCTATATTCAATAAAGTCATTCATTATATTCAATCTTAACATTTCTAAATAAAGAGATATTAAGGGCTTTTTATCACAAAAAATATGAACAATATTTTTGATCAGTTTTTATTTATTTTATTATGATTGGCCTTCCTGATATATAAGAAATAATATTATGTTTATAAGAGAGAATATTAAATGTTTATGAAAGAAATAATATGAAATACATTTATATCTTATATATAAAATTCTTCTGTACAGGTGTATGATTTGATACTTCCCCTAAACGGTTATTCGGATTTTGATTCTTTTTAGGGTTTGTCAAAGAAAATTTTTGAGATTTAATGAACAATAAAACTATAGTAATATTGTATAAATAAATGTCAAAAATGAAAAAAAAACACTAATTATTGTTTGACATTGAGAACATTTAAAAATGTCAATTCACTTGAAATTTGAATTCAGCTAAAATTATTAGCCTAGATAATATTAGAATATAATATTATTGCCAAAAAGCAGCTGAGATGTGCCAGAAATTAAAATAATATAAGTTACAGTCAACAGTATATGTTGGCAGAGGGAATTATATATTTTAAATAGCGCAATAAGTCCAAAATTGCATATACATTATTTTTTTAAACTTATGCATGTCGCGTTTTGGTTTACTTTACTAAATTATTTAACAATACATAAAAATATTTCTACTTGATAAAAAAATGATTTAGAATTTTGTTTCAAAAATTCCAAATGCCGAATATACTATTCATTGCAAGCCTAATATAAACCTTACCCTATCTTAATTTAAACTTTTTTGTTATATATTTGTTTACCTTTAAGTAATAATTACAAATTAAGTATATTTGTATTCATTTCGCAGATTTATATTAAAATTGATCAACAAAATATAAGCACTTAAAACATTTTTAATTTTCTTCCAATAATTTAATTTCCATAGCGGGCATTATAATATATTTACATTAGTAAATCTAAATGAATATGTGCCTTAGGGCAAATTGCTGGAACTTCCTGTGCCATAACGAAATATTGGAGGAATATTAAATATTTTCAAATAGATTATTATAAATACAATAACATTTCCTAATGTTTATAAGAATTATATAAACTGGAGTTTTTTAATTCATTCAAATCGGATGCTTAGTTCTCTCAAAATCTGCAATTTTTTGTACGTTTAGTTCTGTATCTTTGAAATGGCTGGACCTGCCTTTGCCAAAAACTAATCACCACTTCTCCCAATCATTTCAAACTGAATGTTTTTTTTTAGATCATTCAAATCGGATGCTCCGTTCTCTCAAAAACTCGATTTCTATTTTCTGCACTCTTTGCTCTTTATCTCCGTAACGGCTGGACCTGCCTTTGCCAAAAACTAATCAGGTATCATTTTTACCTAACTAATCAGTATTATTCCCAATCAATATCTTTCGAAAATAAAATTGATTTTTTAAAATCGATTCAGAATTGAGAGCTAACACGTGGACGAAACGTTTTTCCACGTTTTTGCTATTTGCAAAGAAACGGCTCAGCCGATCGTCGCACGAAACTGAGAAAAGATAATCCACATCGAAATACATCGATTGGCTTTTAAATTTTTGAAAACGGTTCAGACGTTTTTAAGCAAACGTTGATGAAAGTTCGATTTTCACAAACGCCAAAAAACGAAACTAATTTTTGCAAACTCTGACGATTTTTTAAAATTAAACGAGTTGTCGTAGGGCCGTAATATTTGAGTATGATCTAGAAGACTATGGTATCTATCGTCAAAAAAATAATAATAAAAATCGTCGAAAAAAATTTTTTTCACACGTTATTACAAGAAAAACCTACCGTAAGAAAAAAAATCATAAAAATCGTCCAAAATTTTTTTTATCACTTTATTACAAGGAAACGGCCTGCCGATCTTTACCAAAAACTTATCAGCACGAATCCAACCAATATATTTCAAAGGGTTTTTGAATTTTCAAAATCCTCATCCAGATACATCGAGTAACTTTTAAATTTTTAAAATCGGTCCAGTCGTTTTTGAGAAAACGTCGATTTAGGGCAAAAAATATGTTCCCATACACCCACACATACTTTTTCCAAATTTGGTCTCATTCGATTCAGAATGGCTTGAAACGTCGAGAAAACAAAAATTTGCGAATCGGATTTCTGGATGAAAATAAACTCCTTCGGGAAGTTAATATATTCTCTTATTGTTCGACTGGGAAACAAATTACATTAAAATAAATTAGTTTATTTTCAGGGAATCGTTTTATTTTGACCAAACTTTATTGTACAATTTGCTCATTAACATGTTTAAAAAATATGTTCAACGAAATGGCAAGTTGTCTTTATGCAAAGCTAAACATAATAGTTTTCTCTGGCGAGTATTTATACCTGCCCCGCCTATAGTGTGTAAATATTATCTATTTCTCTGGCTTTTAACAACTTACCAACAGGCCCATCTTCTAAATCACTTCCTGCTATTGGAAGACTTCTATCTGAATCTGTATCAATCATGGTCATAAAATTTCCAAGAAGAGATGATGGCCTTCTAGGTCTACTGGTTGAACACTGTTCGTTTTCGGAATCTGTTTCAATTTGAAGTACCAGATTTTCAGAAATGTTGTCTTCTTCGATGTCTTGAGTGAATGAGTTTACAATTTCCATGCTGGTATCTAGAAAGTTACTAGACATGGGTTCTGTAAAAGAATTATTTGGATTCGGTTCATTACTATCATCATCTAACATATAATCTATTAGGGAGCGTCCATTGATCACGTGATCGATTTTTTAAGGATATTTGGAATCCGACTTCCCCTCTGGTGATACATGGTGATATTCAAAATTACCCCCCCCCCTCCTTTCTCCATCAAACATCAGATGTACTTTAGTTACGGGAAGAAATTGTAAAATTTGATTTTTTTTAAAAAATCAGGTAAAGAATAAATACACGTGATGTCTTACTATACTCCTCCTTCTCCCACGTGGTTTTGGTAATTTTTTGTCGATACTAGAAACCTCACGTGATTAATGGACGCCCCCTAAGTTGGTTCTGTGTTTCGTACGAAGCTACTGATTACGGTTAACTTACACACTTAAAATACATTTTTAGAATCCGAATTCGATGAGATAAAATGAGTTAAATAAATAAATTTAATTTATACAATTCCAGATATTATGAGTATGTTTGAAAGACATCAGTTTGTAGTGAAAGCGAACCGAACATTTCGAATTTATTTTCGAAATAAACAGTTGAACATTTTATCTAGATAGCTAAATCTCAATGCTTATTGATTAAGTTGTTTATGTTTCATAGACCTTATAATACATGGACTCATAGTCCTCATATGTTCGCCTGTTTAAGTGTGAAAACATGAAAGGCGATTGCGACGTCACCGGGTGAACGAACGTTGCCGAGAACCGTCGAATAATCCCGTTTGTTTGAATGTCATAATAGTTACCATGGTTACACTCTTGTTTGCTTAATGTCATAATAGTTCCATGGGTACTTGATGGAGAGTATTCGAGTACGAGCCATAAACCTTAACTGAGCGAACATTGCCGACGGCAATCGCGTACTCTCCCGATTGATTAAATGTCATATGTCACATGTTTAATTTTAATAATATAATGGCAATTGTGATGGCTGATGATTTTGTAAAAAATGATATTAATAATATTATGAAAGGTGAGATAAATGTACATAAAATCGAATCCACCTGTTAAAATCGGTTTATATATTATAAGGCATATGTTGGGCACGAAGCACATGGCATATGACACTTAATCAATCGGGAGAGTCCGCGATTGTCGTCGGCAATGTTCGCTCAGACATGTGACGTCACAGTCTCTTCTATGTTTGCAACTACAACTATTTACTACTATATTTACCTTTTGGTAATATTTCTTTGGAAATAATTTGTATTCCATCCACTTCACCTGGGCTATTTAAATTTACTTCATCGACTATTTCAGGTTCTGAATCAGTAAAATCATTGTCAAATGTTTCACCTGCATTTGGTGAGTCGTTTGGAATGACTACATGATCATTATCACAGCTCAATATATTATCATCTTGTTCAGGTACACCATTAACTATAAGATCAACATTAACATTTTGTTTGACAACTTTATCACTAGTCATCATATCATTGGAATCAAGTTCAACAGCCAGCTTTGTACCATTTTCATCAGGTGTAAAATCGATACTTTTATGTACATTAACATTTTTGCTTCTTTTGATAATTATATCATTATCATCATCGGACACTAAAACTTTCTGTTTCTCTTACGACCTGATAATAAAATACTGTTCAAAATTTCTTCATCTTCAGAATCCGTTTCAATCCTGAGACCAGTCTCAAAACTAGTATCAAAATCATCAGTATCAGAAATTGTCATTAGTTTTTGGGTTAAGTACATTTTACTTTCCATGATTTTACGTTGTGTGCTCATCTCGATATCAATCATATTCCTATCTAAGATAATGGATAATTTTTTAAGGTTATAACGTTGGGTAATAGAAGATGTTTCCGATCTTTTCGTAACAGTTTTTCTAGATTTGTATTTTTTGATAGTCTTAGATTTTTCTGTCGTCTATTTTTAACAGGTTTCTTTGGCTTTCCTTTTCATTATTAATGTTCAAAAGTTCTTTTATACGTTTTGATTTACGAAATCCTTCACTGTACTCTTTCAAACAATGTTCAGGTTGTGGATGAGTTTTGTAAACAGTCATTTTTTATACTTTCTGTACCCTTTTAAAAGTTCATTTAATCTCTTATTAGATTTGTTTTTGAGTTCCAACCTTTTTAAAACAGGCTTATCGGAATCACTATCAGAATCTTGAGTAATCTTTATTGACATAAGTTTTTCTTTTACGTTTTTAGTTAAATTTGGTTTACAAGAATCCTTAGGTGATTTATACTTCTTGGATTTAATTCTTTTAAACTCAGATTCACAATTGTTGTGGTCAGTTTCAAATACTCGTTTCTTTGTAATAGCAAGAATATTTTTAACCATTGATGATGGTTCAATGGAAGATCGATGTTGATCTTCCATTTTTGGTTCTTTAGTCAATATTACAATTGGAGACTTGCATGTTGTTAAACTATCATTATTGGAGGATTTTGACTGTTTGGAACTCTTACTTAGACCACCTTCCTTGTTAAACATTTCATGCTTATTTGCATTTACATTTAAAGCTTTAGGTACTGACTTATTTATATTACTCAAGATCGGTTCAATTTTATCACAATCTTTTTTCATCTGATGAAGATTTATTTTGGCTTCTAATGCATTCTTAGTTGCTGCTTCAATGTTATTGTTTGTTAGACTATTTTCAGGTACAATTTTTGGTTCTTTAGTCAATATCACAATTGGAGACTTACATGTGGTTATTATATCATTATTGGAGGCTTTTGACTCTTTAGAACTCTTACTGGAACCTTCCTTGTTAAACGATTGGCGTTTATTTGAACTTTCACTTAAAGCTTTAGGTATTGTCTTATTTATATTGCTGGCTTGGCTTGCTGGACTATTTTCAGGTACAATTTTTGGTTCTTTAGTCAATATTATAATTGGAGACTTACATGTAATTAAACTATTCTTGTTGGAGGCTTCTGACTGTTTGGAACTCTTACTGGAACCTTCCTTGTTAAACAATTGGCGTTTATTTGAACTTTCACTTGAACTTTAGGTACAGTCTTATTTATATTACTCAAGATCGGTTCAATTTTTTAGAATCTTTTTTTGTACTATCAACATTATAAACACTTATTTCTGAAGTTCTCGTTCTTGATTATTTTCATCTGATGTTTCAGTTTCAAAGCTACTTTTACTACAATTCTCAGTTTTACTTTTGATCTTATTACTAGATCTTTTTTTTTATAGAATTATAGTCATGTATATCCCTATTTAAAATTATGTCATCAGCTTTAGGCAAAGCTTCACTCAAACTTTTTCGCCTAGTAGAAATTCTGGTCATACCAGCTTCTCTATCTTGAGTCGATAAATCATTTCCAATCAACTCATTAGCAATGGTTGAAATATAACCAGAATAAAAGCTTGCACGCCTTGAAAGTGATGTATTTGCCTTAGAATCTGGATCATTATTTTTTTTTACCTGTTTGGAACCTTCACTATTGTTGGCAAATTCATTTTTGTTAAACAAAACTATTAGTTTTTGCACTACATCTGCGAGTTAAAATCTCAGTTGGACTTCCATTGAATTTTAAGTCTTCAGGAAGTTCATCTATTATATTTGTGTCTTTATGTGCTAAAATTTTAGATGGTGATTGACTAGGAAAGGTATTGATATCTCCTGGTTTGGATAAAGATTGAAATTGATGGGGTATCTTTAATCTCAAAATTTTAAACTGTAGGTACTGATTTGTATTTATTTCTGTACTATTAGTATTAATCTTATTTGTCATGTACTATCAGCATCAAATCTTTTCCTCCTATCAAGTTCTCTACGAGGAGTTGTATTTGATTTTTCTTTTGAAAATATATTAGAATATTTTTGAATTAACCTAAAAATGTTCCCTTTGAATTTCTGAAATTAAAAATATTCGGATTATTACATACAAAATTTTTATGTAATATTAATGTTTAATCTTTACCTGCTTCGTTCGACATTAGGGGCATTTTTATAGCAAATTATTTATCATCAATTTACTTAAAAAATTAACACTTTAAATCCCAATAGAGAAAAACTGTTTACGAAATAAGCGCTTTTTTCATACACATTTTGACAACAC